ATTTTATAGGTCAGGAGAACCAACAGAGGGTTGCTAGCTTTGTTAGAGAGGCGTTTAGGACTCGAGGCTACATTCAGACCTTGTCTCATGAGCCACCCATGGCTCCTACGGGACTATAAAATAAATTGATTGATTGACTCGAAACACTGGGCAGAAACCGTCCGCGTCCGAAATTTCGAAAGGAGTTCGCAAGTTTTGTACGTTTTGCGCCAGTGGCATGGCCTGGGCCCTGCAGGCAGATTGCAGGCTCCCCATGCCAATGCCAATGGCAATGGAGCTAGGTCAACGTAAAACCTGAAGTTGTTAGAGCCGCTCCTTGACGGCAGCATGGCTCTGGTGCCAGCAGTGAGGAATCTTGCAGGTGTTGGAACAGATTCTCACCTTCCAAAAGCTTTGACCAGACCCTACGTTGGCCCATTTCCAGATTTCCCAAGGCCTTCTGCTGATGAGTGCAGAGGTGTGAAGGCCGCACTGGAAGCATTGCATGGACCTGTTGAAAGAATAAAAGACGCACGGACAGATCCAAGCATTAAGCAAGTGCAAGCTCCACAGACGCTGAAAGTAGAAGGAGAAGAAATCCAGCACCTAGTCAGTGGCAGCGGTGTCAGTAAGGACCAGCTACAAGACGGGCTGAAAATGCTGACACATGGGAATCAAGAACATGGCTGTCCTAAAAGAGTCAAGGAGGAGGCTGATGACGCTTCACATGCAGAAGATGCCGGACGTCTAGCAATGGACAATCTTGATAGTGGTCTGAGGACGCCGGAAGTCAAGTCAAGCAAACGGCTAAAGGTCTCGCTTTCGGTCCCTGCAGTTCTTGGCTCAAGCAATGCTGGTATAAAGAGGGAAGCTGAGAACTTTGATTTTGAGAGTGGGGCTTCACCACCTTTTGAATTGAATAATGAGCACATCAAGATCAGTGCGCAGCCAGTCAAGGAGCTTAGACCATCTGCTGCGAGAAGCCATGGCCTTCGAGAAGCCAAGGAAGAACCGGCAGATTATACGGCAGGTCTCAATGTTGCCGCAAGCCTTCCATTATACGCCCCGAATAGTAATCAAGCTCCGCAGCGTCTTCTTAGGAGTCAAACAAAGGCTAGTCAGAAGGAAAGCATCAAAGAGGAAACTCCCTCAAAGGTTTCTACTGACATTGACCAGCGAAAGCCGGCAGGATCTCGGAAGCGAAACTTTCAAAACGTCCAAGAGGAGCCTCTTCAAACAGTGGCGCCAGTGACGCCACAACCTCAGGTCCTCAACGGAAGAGGGTCCGCGTCACAACCGGCCGTCAAAATGGAATTGTCTCTCGCTAAACAGACTTCATCATCGTTCCCCCAAGCCTCCAAGTTGCCTCTAACCCAGACGTCAGCATCACTTCAAATAACTCAAGCACAACCGCCAGGAGAAACTGCTGGTCATTCATCGGTGCTCGACTCCCTGGTACGAACGATCCTGTCGCAAAACACGACAGACACGAACTCAAAACGGGCATTCGCCTCGCTGAAGCAGGCATTTCCCACCTGGGAGGATGTGAGGGCAGCGGGGCCGGGGCCATTGGCTGCATCTATCAAATCAGGGGGGCTTGCGGAGGTGAGCAAGAAGCAGCTTTTACTTATGACCTTGTTCTCTTTGTCTTGATCGGTAGAAGACGGACTTTCGAATAAAGATTGATAGAAGCTTTGTTTTGCCATGTTGGCGTACTCTCCCAATAGAACCTTCTTGAGTTGTAGATGCTTTTCGACCTGGGCAGAAGGTTTGAACCAGGGGTATGATGTCGTTTTTGGCTGGGCCTATTGTTTCTGGTCGACGTCGACCCTGACGACCAGATTCCAAGAATTGAGTGAAGTGCCTGGTGAAAAGAAGGAGAGCATCGACAACGATCCGCTTCTCCTATACTGCTTGTCACTCGTATCGCTTGTTGAACCATTTCGTGGATTGTAAATTATCAGAATACACAATTGACAGTGACAACAATCTCCCTTATTCTGTTCCGCATTTTCAGATTCTGGAACATCCTGGCTCACTCCCTAGTCCAGCCAAGAATCCCTCACAGTTCGCGTTTTGTTCCCCTTCCTCAATTTCTCCCTGGACCAATCAACAGGTAAAACGCCCTTTCGACTTTGGATTGTCACGCTTTCGATTCTGCTTTTCGCATCTTTTGCAGATCAAAGCACGCCGGATTCTGGACATTTTAGAGCATCTGGCGTCGAAGTACGGGGCGCTCGAGCTGGAGCACCTGCGGTCGATGAGCGACGAGCAGGTCAAGGCGGAGCTGAGCCAATTCAAGGGGGTCGGGCCCAAAACGGTATGCCGATTTGCCATGTTTATTTCTGAAGGATTTTTGAGGTGCCGCTCTAGGAGTATGCCACCATGGCAGAGTCCGACTCTTTAGCAACAAATGTTCGTGAAGTAGTGAAGACGCCTCCACGATCTCCGAGCCTTCACGGTTTGATTTCGATAACAAGAGAGATAGAGTGCTGAGACCTGATCTACATCCATCAAACCCTTGGTAATCGTTCAGAAGGCTTAGAACCGCACTGGTACGAGCAAGTATTCCGAACAAGGATTGAAGTACATCCTTTTTGGCGATCAAGGTTCGGACGCAAGAACGGTATGCTGGTCGTGATCTTCGCTAATGTAATATCGTAAGCAAGAACAACGTTCAGTCTTCTGGCGGGGAAAATTGCTTCCTTTCCATGTCTCCATGGTTCTTTAGTTGAGGACAACCCGGCCCTGGAACAGTGTTGCCTTTGCCCTGCTTATCCTGTGTGGATGCCGAGACCTGTGCTTCGACTCCGGTCACTTAGCCACTACCCTGCACTACTTTGAAGAACACCTTTGGATTGCGTCGGGCTGACCGTCTGGCATTTTATTGTCTGAATGCGACCCGAGGACCTCTCACGAAGTTAGGAGCAGAGAATCTGGGCTGTAATCTACTTCCCCGATTAAGTTCGTTTCCAGACGGATTTGCAGGTAGCTTGCGTCCTCATGTTCTGCCTCGACCGTAACGAGTTCCCAGTCGACACCCACGTAAGTCGCGTCTCTCTGAGCTTCATCTCTTGTCTCGAAGTTTTGCATCCAGTTTGGCGGTGCGAGTGAGACGTGGTGTAATTCTGTAAGTTACCTTGCTCCATCGTTGATTGCGTCTGGACGGTCTGGCACCGGCATCGGACGATGTAATATGCGTTGTCTGGTTCTGTCTTATGTCAATGGACGCCTACGCGTTCTGTCGATGGACGCCCCTGCCCTTGTCACCCATTCAGGCTTTTCACCCCAAAAAGCACTCAATCTCTCATTGACGAGACTCCAGAAGAGCAAATCAGCCTTTTGCTGCAACTAGGTATGGCGCATCTCCAAGCGGCTGGGCTGGGTCCCCCAGACGGCGGACCGGGAGGCGACGTACCTGCACCTGAACCAGCGGGTGCCCGATGACGTTAAGTACGATCTGCACTGCTTGTTAGTTGGCCACGGGAAGAAGTGCCCGGGGTGCGCCAAGGGGGGCCGGCCCCAGAAGGCCCCCGACGGGCCGTGTCCCCTGACGCCCTGGATTAGAGGGGCAGGTAAAGGGGACAAGAAGTGATAGGCAAGATTGTTCGTTGGTTGAGTTGCAAAAGCTCTGGTCCCAATTGGACGGGATCGTGGGCTGCATAAATAGCACGCGCTCGCCTTTGTAGTTAGCGTCGGAAGGATACTTTTGATTATTTTGCGACCTCAATATAACAAGTGTAGCTCAGGTCGGCGTTGTAGTACTGTCGATGCATGGGACGTGCTGAATATCCTGGGAAAGCTTCGCTATTTGTGATTGTCCATGTCCGTTTCAAACAGTCGCAGCTGGATCATTGCTTGGTATGCACCGGCCCCAATCAATGATGATCAACGTTCAGCTTATGAATCGCACGTGATCAGCTGTATGCATCAGTGTAGCGCGCGAAATCACGTGTCGCTTGCATGACTGCAATAAACTTTAACGCGTATGATCACCGATGACATACATGCAGATAAGTCTAATATGTTACGATTGCTGAGTGCATAACCGTAGTAGGGACATGTGCATGCATGATTCACAGGGTGACGGGCACTGATGTTCGGAGTAAGAAATGATTCCAACTGAGTAAAGAAGAGGGCAGCTCGCACACGTAACCATGCATGCCTCGAACGATCGGTGAAGGACTAGGATATACTCTGGATTTGCCATCAGCCTAGCTAGGCAAATCAGCCTTTTGCATATTGAGAATGTGTAGCTTAGCCTAGATTTACAAACGACTTTCGCCAGCAAATGGTTTTCTCACCGAATCGATCTCCTATACGTTTCAATCGTTATCATTTTATCAGCAAGTTTCCAGAAGCTACGCGTCTTTTTAACGCCCACCTGTGCGAACCGCCACTAGGGCCACTCAGCGGGCCTGCCGCCTGCCTCTCAAACCTCAGCGCGCAGTGCCTCAGTCAGCCGTCCTATCGCCCATCGACCCACTTAGCTCGTCGCACTTTTCTAATGAGTCAACCCGGCCAATTTCAGCGCACCTCCGTTGGTTCGATCGTAGGATTTGGTACTTCGCCCTGACCGTTGCTAGCCGCAGTCACACGAACTTAAATTTCCATTGTTCCTGACAACTTCTCTATAAGGGGTCTACCCAGCCTAATACGCGTCCGCAAGCCGACTATCAGGGCTGCTCCGACAGCTTGTCAGTTCGATTGAGCAAACGTGCATCTATTAGCAACGTGCAACTACTTTGACTGTGCCTTCTTCACTGATCTTGATGTGGCGTGAGTTTCCCGTTGTACTTCTTCCGCTAATCCGAATCTAGGAGCTCGTCAAGGCGTCAATTCGCAGGCCTGTACAGTAGCTGTTCGTTTTGCAAAGGATCACGCTCCGGTTACGTGCTGATATTGCTCCCCTTTGGCGTGACCCGACTCATCAGCCCCGACCGGCCTTTGGGCGACGCCAGCTCCTTCTGACTCTTACTCCGCGAAAACGCGTTCTTCATCACCCCCTTGAGCGAGCTCATGTAATGGGGGGTCCGCGCCCCCTCGCCATCCACCCCCCCGGCCTTGGGGCTCCCCGGCTGGCTCCCAGTCCCCTCCCAACTTTCCCCAAAAACCTTACCTCCCCCTAGAGGATCGCCCACAACCGCCCGCAGCGCCGCCTTTTTCGTCAGCCCGGAGAGATCGTTCGTCGAATGGCTCGCGGCCAGCATGTCGCCCGCAAGCGCGCGGTTCTTGGGCGCGCGCTTTGCGCGCGCGCCGTCCTCCGCGGTCGGTGACGAGACGATGGGCTCGGTGTTGACGAGACCGTCGCCCTTGGCGGCGACCGAGCCCTGCCGGCTGCGCACCGGGGAGTGGCTGTAGCTCCGCCGGTGGGAGCGGACCCTGCGGGCGGAACGGCGGACCAGGATTGGCGGGGAGCATCGGCATGTCATATGCGAAAAGCACGAGTGGCAGCAGCCTTCTTACCTCCGCGTTTGCTACTCTCAAAAAGGTGTCGGAACTGTGTCACGTCTTTCGATTGTGGTGGTTTCACGTAATAGGGACGAGCATCGCTAGTAGCTAGAACGGTGGTCTAACTTCGACCCCTTGAGCGCCTTCTTTGATATAAAAACTTTCCATTCAGTCTTTTGAAAAAGCCGTCGTTCGCATTTGGAACCGTCCAACGTCGATAACAATTGAGAAGAGAAGTGAGATCCACGCTTCCGAATCTTCACAGTGTTCTTCAAGTATATCTCGTATGCATATAGACAAGTGGGTCTCGGATCCAATTCAATCATTCGCAGTCTGCAATAGTTTATCTTTCTAGGTTGGGTTACGGATCAAAATTAGTTCTCACCCATGGGTTAGGATCCAGGGGTGATGCAGCAGCTGCACAACGCCCGGCCGCTTGTGCGGGTTCCGCGTGAGGGCGGTCAGGATGAACGAGGCGGCTTCCGTTGACAGGTACGACGGAATCACGACGTCACCCTTCCGGATGAGGGCGTACGTCTCCTTGCGGGAGTCCGACTGGAAGGGCGGCCTGGACAGAATCGAAGGAGGAAAAACCAAGGTCACCGTTGAAACGCGTTCATTTTGAATTTTTTTTTGCAAGGTTTGAGATGTGGTTAAAAGGTTGTGAGTACCACATACGGTTACCAGGCGCGAAGAATACCCTCAATATCGAAAGCAACATCGACACGTGTCTAAGAAGGGAACGTGAAGGAGCAGAAGCCGACGGGCGCTCTTCTCAGGCGCTCGTTTCCGATGCGAACAGAAAGACCATATGTCGTTTCTGAATGCAGGTGCACAGACTGTACTTCAACCTCGCAATCGACTCGAGAGCGTACCTATCATGCTGTACCATGGCCGCGAGGGTTCTTGGTACAACCATGGTACCGGGCGGCCACGGTACAGAGCAATGAAACTGAGCAGAGGATCGGGCAGCCTGGGTACTTGGTACAGAGTACCGGGCAGCCCGTGTAACAGTTAGAAAAGTACCGGGCCGCCTGTGTACCGATTACAGAACCGGGCAGCCCGTGTACCGCTTACAGATTACCAGGCAGACTGTGTACCGGTTACAGAGGACCGGGCAGCCTGTGTACTCACCTTCCGGTGAGCAGCTCGTATGCGAGGATCCCGACCGCCCAGGCGTCGACGGCCGTGTCGTAGTTGCCCTTCTCCCGGTCGCGGTGCTCGTCGTCCACGTTGATGATCTCGGGGGCCATGTAATCTGCAGCCGCGGAAAGGAAAGGCTCAAACAGAAAATACTAGGCGCCGAAACTCTATCCACGCCTTTCGCGTTTGGCCGTTGGCCCATGCAAGCAGCGGTGCGGTTCAACGGCAGCTTTGAAGTGCTCAATGGCTATGCGAGTGGGGATAATCGTCCAGGGAGTAAGAGCTGGGCTCCTTAAGTTACGGGCGGGCAAAGTTCGGCTTTATGAGAGTCAATCTCGGCTTACGAATCTTTCATTGTGCCGGGACTGAATCGTAAAAGCTGACGGTAAGCTACGAAAGTAGTGGTTTCTTCTTCTTTCAAAACTTATCCGTTGAATGACATGCTGTTCAAAATTCCAACAGCTCAGATTTATGCCAGGACGCGCGCGCGCGCTCACCAGTAGTGCCCAGTCGCGTACAGGGCCTCTGCTCGTTGAGGTTGATGGCGAATCCAAAATCGGCCAGCTTGATCAGCTTGTTGGGGAACACCAAAATGTTCTCCGGCTTGATATCTCTGCACGATCCACATTGGGCTGTCAATCATATGCCGTAGTAAGGGAACTTTTCAAAATCTTGGTCGCGGCAAGCAAAACTATCACTGATAATGATTCACAAAGGAAGATGTGAGATACTGTAGTCGGGAACATCCTTCGTCTGGCACCTACTGAGCGCAACGGCGATTGCAAAATGTGGACGCTTCATTTCCGCCTTTTGTGTATCGTTTCCTTAGCCCCCTAGGAAGATTACATCTCACGTGCCCACACTTTCCCTGCTTTCGCAGCGCGAGCACGAAGATCCATCAGAATAATCAACCGCAGAGACTAACCGAGCCCCTGAATTTAAGTCGTTGGATTCTCAGGCGCTGAGACGAAGGAATAATATAAAAGCGCGCACCTGTGGATGAACCCCTGCTTGTGCACGTACCGCAGCGCGACTACGAGTCTCATTTTAATTCTTAATATCAACCACAAAGTCTCACCGACGTAACTGAAAGAACAGCAATATCAAATTCTCGTGGCAAATGAAGGAATATAGACTGATTGCGCACCTGTGGATGATCCCCTGCTTGTGCATGTACCGCAGCGCGAGCATGAGCGGCTGCACGACCTCCTTCACCGCGCGCTCCTCCGTGAGCGGCCCCTTGCTCTTCCGCCGGTCCTCAAACACGTCCCCTAACGGCGCCCACTCCTGCGAAACGAAGACGGACTTGAATCTAAGCGGCTGAGATTTACGACAGTAAGCCGAAGGAAGCATGGTCGATTGGATTGAGTTGCCTGCTTCCATGGATTCATCAGTAACACTTGGATGGATCGAGATTATTGAAAATATTGGGATGGCTGCTGAAATGAAGGCTTCTGCAGGTGTTGCAACCACTCAATGAGGGCAACTTTGCCAATCAATTATCACTCTAAAGAAGGTTTCAGGTCCATGTTCACCTGTTCTGAAATTGTCACGCTTTGAAGTGACACATCTGACCACCCCTTATAATGCGTAACCTCTTTTCCGACGCGTGACGCTCCCAGTAAGTTTGAATGGTGACGTCTTCCTCCAGATCGGTAACGATTTTCTCGTTTCTTGGCTTACCAGCACGAGGCAGATGTTGCCGTCTTTGTCTTCGAAGTGGCCGTAGATCTCGGAGATGTACTTGTGATGGACGCGCCCGTGCAGCCGGATCTCTCGCCGCACCTGGGGGCCAGAAAAGAGCGACACGGTCAGCGGCTGCTGACGCGTTCTTGTCGCCTCAACGTCCCGAGTGTTAGAAGCGTCGAAGCTCGTCCATGTCCAAAGCCGTGACGGGAAGGAGTGGGACGTCCGCAAGTGCTCAGCACGGACATCGCGTTGGCGGTCCGTCTGAGCGGCACAACTTAAGACGCCTAGAGATTGCTCCAAGAGAGTCTAACGCCGCAAGCAGATGGCAGCGCAGTTTTCATTGAGATCGTTTTCAAGGCTTCCTGCTCCGGGTTGCGTCTCTGTAGGAGGTGTCTCGGCAAGAGCACAGATGCAGCGTAATGAAGGACAAGTGGCAGGCGGTACGTACCTGGTTCTCAACATAGCTGTCCATCTTCTTCTGGTGGTACATCTTGAGGGCAACCGGAAATTGCGTCGCCCGCACTTCAGCCTGTAAAAAAGAGCTCCGAATCTTGATCATACTGAGACTGTGATTATGCGCTGGAATCGGACAGCTATGCTCTTAGCCTTTGATAGTCGTCTACACTCTTACGGAGTTCGCGCTTTTGTACAAGGCGAGGGACGCAGCCGCTACCTTTTGCATCCGGACCTGCAGAAGTCTCAAGATTTTGAAAACAGGGCCCTCATTTTCTTGCGGCGCCACAAAGTCGAGTCACTTTGCTCAGAGGAAGACACGAACGAAGGGGGCTCGGTTTGTACGTCGTCTATGGTCCAAGAGAGCAAAGAGCGCGGAGCAAGAAGAAGGTACAATGGAGTGGTGGAGAGCCAGAAAGCTCCTGGCGCGCTACAAACAGATCCGGAAGACAGAAGAGCTTGGGAAAGTTGGACGGCCAGCCAAAAGCCGCTCGCAGCGCGCGCGCGCACCTGGTAGACGGTGGAGTAGCGCCCGACGCCGACCTCCCGCCGCACTTTGAAGTCGCTCCACGTCCACTCCCGGTCGGCGGGCAGCCCGTGCGCCGCCGTGGAGGCCCTGTCCGCGCCGGAGTCGTCGCTCTCGCGGGAGCTGCGGGTGGACCGCCGCGCGTCGCGGGGCTCGCGCGGGGCCTTTGCCGCGTGCTTCGAGTCCTGTATTAGGAGGGGGGTGTGGTTGGATCAGTCGGTACCGCGAAAACGGAAATCTTTGCTAAAGGGAAGCCAACTGACTTGTAGGATGTCGAGGTTGGAAAATTCCGCTCGAAAAGAAACTTTTGGTCAGAAATGACCTGTGTGCTCGAAGCCAGGTCGCCGATCAAGAGGAGGTCTGTGCTCAGATCCTGAGATTCACCTCTCACGTGGTCCGCTTATTGATCACGTCACCAAGAGCATCTTTTCTGCTCTTCTTATAAAGCATTCTCAACAAAGCTTGCAGCCCTTAGACCCAGCCGTTACATCTCTCTCCCTGCGTTTTCTTATCGTCAAGCGCTCCTGTTTGCAACAGCTTACGCGCATTTCTTCCGGCCGACGCACCTTCGCTTCCTGGCTGACGTCAGCCCCGTCCGGGCCACTTCTCGATTGTCCGGCCGCGGGCTGGACGTCCGCATCCTCTTGTGGCGCCTTCTCCCTCCCCGCCTTCTTGGGGGTCGCCGCCGCCAGTAATTTGACCCCCCCGGGGCCCTGCTCGAGCGGCCGCCAGGGACTGCTGTTCGCGGGTTTGCTCTTGACCACCTCCGTAACTGTCTCCCCGTTGACGTCATTTTCGTGCGAGCTTTCCCCGTGGCCCGCTTTCTTGGCCACCCCGACCTTGCGCGAGAGCATGGTCAGCGAATCGACGCCCGAGAGAGGCTTCGAACTGTCGCCGTCGATCGCCTGCATCACGTGGTCCTTGCGAGCCGGCCGCTTATCCCCCGAGACGCGCTGCCCGCTTATGTGCCCCCCCAGATCCTCCGGACGCACGACCTCGTCCGAGATGCGCAGATTCGGAGGCTCCGGCGCGACCTTAGCACGTGCCTTGTAGCTCGAGACACGTGTCAGCGTCGGAAGCGTCAGCCCGGTGCTGAAGCTGCTCGGCGCGTCGCCAGCCGCCGGCTTATGCGCCCCGTACGATAGCTTGTCCGCGACGAACGGCGAGAGCGGCTTGTCCTTGGGCGACCCCGCCGCCGCCTTCGGCCGCGTCGGCGACCCCAGCCCTTTGCTGATGTCACCTTTGGGGGACGTCTCGTAGGCCTTCGGCGCGGGGGGGTCCTGGTCCGCGGTCGCGTCGGGGATTGCGATCGACAGCCCCAGCTTCTTGATACTGCCGTGACGTATCAGGGGATCCCCCTCGTGGATCGCCTCCCGCTTGAAAACCGTCACCCCGAGGGGGTTTGAAGTGTCGCTGTCGCGCCCCCCCGAACTGAGCCCCATTCCCAGGGGGCTGCCCATCAGGGGCGCGTGCCTGCTCCCGACCCCTCCGGGAGAGAAACTGAAGTCGTGGCTCGCGCTAGAACTGTCTTTTGGACTGTCCATGTGGCGTTCCCTCCCCTTCGCAATCTTCGGCGTCCCGAGGGGGGAGTCGGTTCCCAACAACCCGTCGTAGCTCAGCCTGAGGCTCCCGGTTTGGATCCGCCCGGGGGGGTGCTCCACCGGGCTCCCGAACCCCCCATTGCTGCGCGACTCCGCTGCAATCAGTGACTCCTTCAGCAGGTTCCGGCCGGAAAGGGGGGAATCCCAGCTCGCAGACAGGGCGGAACCTTCTTTCCGAAGCCGGCGGGGGCTGCCCATGCCTGGGGAAGTGACGGTCGAGCTTTGGGATTCGGACGCTGAGTCGTCGGACGCTCCCGGGGAATCCATCGGACTTGGCTGCGCTTTGACGCTTTCCAGGGGGTTCAGGCTGCGGCCGCGCGGGCTCAGAGAACTAGACAGAGGGCTGCCCTCTTCGCTGCTCCCCCCGCCAATCAGTGCCTGCGTTCGAGGGCATCCAAGTCAAGGTTCTGGTGAAGGTTTCCGTGATGCAGTCTTAAGCAGAGACAAATCGCAAAGGTACTCGACGCCAAATGTGGCAGAACGGACCCGGCTTTTCGATGATTGTGGACGTTGATAACGTTTCTCTGCTGGTGACCTTTGTGGAGGGATTTGTGAGCAGCGAAAATCTGAGCAATTATCCCGTTTTAGAGAATTCCCAACTGACTTTCACTCAGGCAGACTTGCACAGTGTATGTCCTCGTAAACAAAAGCTACCAAGGACTAGAGCGCAATGCCCCATGCGTGGGCGACTTTTATACAAATGGAACGGGAATCAAGTTACTCCTTGAGAACATCCTCTAGTTGCAACGATGGTGAAACGTCTTCCCCAGGCGTTGGCAAGAGAGTCCGAATGCGCCCATTGCTGCTCATTGACCGATGCCATGCACTGAACATAGCAGCTTGAGGTATACACTTTGGCTCCCGAGCGGGCTGCGCAGAGGCATCGCTTACGGTGTTAATGTCGCTCCTTCCGCTGAAGAAAGCAGCATTGGAGTCCGCCAACCCGTTGCTCTTGTGGATGCCATCTGCCAATGAAAGCGGGAGAGCTTCACAGGCAAATCTATAAACCAAAAGCCTGGGGAGCCCATCAGGTTATGTATTTTTGCCGTGGTTGCTGGTGTTCTGTTGGTCCGCATGTATTCGATGGTTGCTCAGAAACCGTAAGTACCACATCTGACTGGGTTTCATTTGTGTTGAATTGTCCATCTTGCAAGTGATTGATAGTGTTAGGTCAGCAAACTTTACCCAAACCAGGGGGCCACGTGCTTGCTTGATGTTGCTGCTTGAACTGTTGGGGGAATGACCTGGAGGTCCGAGTAAGAACCCCTTGAAAATTGTGTATCGTCTTTGCAAGATTGGAGGGCTTTCTTCCGGGTCCTTCTCCACTTTCCAGAAGCCAAACGTTCCACCTTGCATTTAACAGGACGGGTTACTGGCTTTGCCCAGGGAGAGTCCTACCATAGGAGTGCAGTCCTCCCCTGCAATCATACTAAAGGCACTAGGCGAACCCTGTTAGCGTCTCTAATGTCTGACACCTTCAAAAAGCACCTTCAGCAACAAGCGGCATATTCCGGTCACCTTTTTGGGCCAAGACGTTTTCACCATGACGGCATTCCTAGAAACGGCCCCAGATGATAGAGCTTTATACTTTTTGGTTCCACCACAAGAAGAATCTTAAAGCAACGACGCTGCTGACCTGGCGCCATGCCGCTCCCCCCCACTTCTGCCCCCAGAACGTCACCCCCCGCCCACAGCCCTTTTGACGCTCTTGGCGACCCGCTGGCCGAACCGTCGTCACGTGGCGCTAAGTGGGGCAGTCTCAAAGGGCCCAGATCCATCGAATACAGGCCGGCCTCCCAAAATCCTTGGTAAGATGTCGCCACATTCTCTCGTTTTCCTCACGAAAGGTGCTGTATCTGCGCAATTGTTGGCCCCTCAAACTGCTGCATCTCTGAAGGGCGCCTACGTTTCTCGCCCGCATTCCTTCACTGCTAGGAAGCAACATCCTGCCACGTACGTTTCTCTCGCCTCCAAAAGATCCATTCCCTGGTTTGATGCCGTCAAAGTTCTCCAAGATTGGCAGGCAATCCCTGTCAGTGGATCGGATTTGTTCCTCGATCTGAATCTTAGAGGCTTGACTCGAAACTCTGACAGGACTGCCTTTCTGTCAACTTGTCAAAACACAGACTTGTTTCGAAGACAATGCGGGCAAAGCTGACTCTGAGGAGTCATATGCTGCTTGTAGGATACTCCAATCCGTCATTACATCAAGTGCATATTTTCCAGACTGCAACAGGCTCAATGTGTTCTGGAATCCTTGACACATGCGTAAAATGTCACTCACGAAGCATGCCCTTCAATGCCGCCCCATGTTTAGTAGCATGCATGTATGGGTGTTTCGAGCCGGCTGGATATTGCCTGAATATCGAGCATAGCTTCTGCTGGAGCTGATGTCAGACACAGGTCAGCGTAATGAACACGATACTAGGCTACAAAACAATGCTGAAAATACTAACGTTACTTTGAGTTCAGGCAGGACTACTTATCGTACTCGTGTTAAATACTGTAGGATACTTGTTTGAATTGGCCCGGAGTCATCTGGTGCATCGAATCGTCTCCCTGTACTAGGTAAGTAGGTAATTAATGCACCGTTGCTGCATTGTCGCATGCCCGCTGAAATAGGTAGTGGTGGGCCGTTTTTGATCTGCTTATCGGACGGCTCATCTTCCTTCTCCTCGCGCGCGCACTTGCTGACATGCTAGCCAGCTGGAGCTTCGTGCATATGTCCAATTTATCGACGGTTTCCGTAGCCTACCCAACTCAGCATCGACGGTTAGAACCCCAGGTTGCTTGAGCTCCGGGCAGATGTCCCAGAACTTATCGCGCAGGTCATGATCATCGAGCAATGTGCTCCCCTTTTGCATTTTGGCCCAAGCCTATAAAGGACCGCTGTATAAAGAATCCTTAGCATTAGCGACTGCTTGAAGGACCTCTGACCACTCATCTAGAAGCGCTTCATGCTCGTTTCCCTGACTCTTGTAAGCTATGATCTCATTACTGTAGGAAATTGCTTTTCAATAGCCACGAGGGCAGCCAAAACAGCAAGTCTGCATCGTGTCATATTCCATCCAAAACCCTGGGTCCTTCCCAGGGTCTTTTTGCAGTTTTTGAGCGGGTGCCAATAAGCAGCTCGGCGTTGAATAGAAGAGTGGTAGAGTCGATTTGCGCAGCTCAGACTGTAGCTGCTAGGCGGCGCCAGCTGGACTCAAAGCACGCCAAGGCATACTGCAATAAAATTAAAAGCACCATTGAACACTCCTGACCTATGTTCAGAAAGGTGCAGTTTTACCACACAGAGATGCGCAAACTTAGTTCGTCGGCAAGTCAGCTACACCGGCTAGTAGCACAACTAGCTACGAGTGTCAGTGTTGAAACGGCTAAGGCTAGCTCGTTCTTCTGAAATGAACATTAGAGGGAGCGGAGCAAGGGGCTCTAGCCCCTTTAGCTGGATTCCCTTTTGACACCTCGGTTCGTTTACTGGGGATTGCTTCTGGCATAAGTAGGATGAAGAGCATGGCGCCTGCGCTTCTGCTGAGCTGTGTGCTGATTCTCCTGTTGTGCCACGTGGCTCAAGCTCAGCCACAGAGTGCCGCCACCCCGATGAGCGGCGCGGCCCCTAGCGACCCCCTGCCACCGGCCCTGAGGGCGAAACTGGACAATGTATCACTCCTGGTCGATAACTACATTGACCTCAACTACGGGTTCTGCATCAAGAGCGCGTGAGCATTTGATCACCTCAATTTGCGCACCTTGGATTATCTCCTCTTTGCGTTCTCGAGTCCACGGTCCTCTCTCCTTCAAGGCAAGGGACAAGAATATCTGTAAGACACAGAGTGGGATTGGGCGCCGGTGCAGAATTTGGTGTGGCATTCATCTATTAATTGCTTGATCAATGCACGTAGCGTAAGTACTTCGTGGTTGGTGACAAATGTGCGAAGGGGCCAGTGCACCCACTTCACAAGTATAACTCAAAAGATTTTCGCCCTGGCTCAAGTTCCGCTGTCCTAACAGTTAAGAGCTTCTTCTGACCAGGGTTTTAATACCACCACTGCTCAGCTGCCACAGACCTTTAACCTTCTGTTGGGACTGCGCCTGCTGCGTTCTGATACAAGCTCCCATGTGAAGAAGCTCTGGAAGGGAATGTTCTTTTGCAACTGTGTTTCCAAGCCTGTTTGTGCACCTGCAGGGCAGAGGAGAAGCCACTCACGTTCGACTTCAACCAAGACGCGCAAAGCATCCTGGCATGCGACATAGAAGGTGAGTCAGGGGGACCAAACACCACTTGGAGGGCCAAAACCATGTTATGTGCCGTCGCTGAACTTTTTCTTCGATTGAACGGTCCAGATTGCCTATTGGAGTGTCCCGAGTGCTCGGTAGGTCCCGGTTGGCCTGTAGATTGGGTCTAGTGGCTATTTATCAAGTAGTTTGGACAATTCTGCCTGGTTAACCCTCCTTAATTAGCACAAGATAGCTCCTAAACCCCTTTTTGCCCCAACCCAAAACTCAAGGGTTGCAAACAGGACCCTTCGGAGGTTTGATTCCACCAATTTTCGGGTTAGGGCAATTAGGGGTTTGGCTGCTGGCACATGGTTCAGGTTGCAAACCCATTTACCTGGGGCGTTTGGTCCCCCTGAGGTGAGTGCCCCAGACCGTGCATGCTGGGAGCAACACAGGTCCGGCTTCGGCCAACTCTCTTTTCAGCCACGTGTTAGTGAGATCTTTGGTGCACTCGGCAGCTCACCTGGCTGCTCTCCATCCGTCTCTCTTGTTGCGCTTCGTACCCCTTATCCACTCCAAGTCAGGTCGTCGACCAGCTGCCTACGGATGGCGTACTGCGAGGCCCGAGCGGCCCTTCCACTGTTCTCCTATCCTTTCGACCATCGCTTATGGCTCATATCTCTTATCCGCCTCCAGGCCGCCTCGGCGACCGGCTATGCAGCGACGGCGAGCTCCGCTCCTACTTCGCCACCGACCCGCGGAGGAGTCCCCCGGAAAACGTGAACTGCAACGCGGACTCGTATCTGGTCGCGTGCAACCCGGGGTTTGCGAGCAGCCTCGACGCGGCAAGCGCCACGCGCAACTTCACCGTCCCGCCAAAGTACCCGCAGGACATCCCGCGGCGGATCGACGACTACGCGCCGTGCTGCCCGGGGTTCTTCTGTCCCAAGGGCTTGGCGTGCATGATCCGTGAGTGATTGGAGAATTTCCGTACTTTTACTCTTAGGATTATCATCAAAGGATAAGCGCGGGCGTGCATGATCCGTGAGTGATTGGCAAGTTTCCATTCTTCTACTTTTAGCATTTTCTCAAAAGAAAGGCTCGGCTTAAACGAATAGGACTTATTGTGGCGTGAACTGAGAGCAGAGTGGTCTCTCTGCGGACTAAAGAACGAAACAAAAGGGCGAGTCAATGAAGCAAAGGGAGTCAAGCTCATGAACACGTATGCTGGGGATTAATGACTTCGCTGAGATAAGCGCAGTCCGGGAAGCGGTAAGCTGGAAAGCGGTTTACCTTAACGGGTTACCTGCACTGGTTCTTCGTGTCAAAAGAACCCGGGTCTGCGACCGGCCATTTCTTGCCCACTGTAACTTGAATCCAGAGAGCCAATACAGTCACCCGATACAACGGACACGTAATCTGGTCACGTGGATCACGGTCGACCAGCCTGGAAAACTTCGTCAATGCAGCAAAGCCGTAAACCCAGGTCTGGAAAACTTCGTTAGTGCAGCAAAGCCGTAAACCAGGTCTGATAACCCCTTGCAGCGTGCCCCATTGGAGCGTACTGCCCGTCCCCCGGGTTCCTCACCGAAGGCTCCTACACCACTTGCGACCCGTGAGCCCCCATCCCGTGCAATTTTGATTCTCCCTTGCACTTCCGAGAATTACTGTTCCGAGAGAGAAGCGCTCCCGTCTTGTTGTGCTTACCGACGCTGCTTCGCTCCTACACTTTAAGGCCGCTGCTTTGTCCAGTCAATGGCAGCGGGAGTCCAGATTTCGCCGATTCTCGTTCCTCCTGCTGCTGTCAACCTGGGACATCTGCGCAGGGCTCGAGTAGGGGCTGTGCGAAGTCGAGAGATGCTGGAGCTCCCAATTCCGTAGAGCGCTCCCCAAGATTTGAGTCCCCAAGATTTGAGTACTCGCCTCCCTCCGAGGCCATTGAAAACAAGACCCAACATCGATAATTGCAGCCTCCTGTAACCCTTCAAGCCCTAAATCCTTGAATGCATGGAGCACTAGATTCTTAGGACCATATCCCAGGCACAAGTACTCCCCAAGAAGCATTCGCATACGAAGACCGGCAAGTATACCCTTGGACACCCGCAAGAAGCAAGCCCTAGAACCGTCATAAACTATAAGAAAGTCAGATTCGTACCCGACGGACGAGTACTACGCTTCTTCGGAGCCGTCTCTTTCCAAGACAGGCATTCAAACGTTGGTCTTTCACTAAAGTAACTCCTGAGTTCGATCGAGACACTGGGAAACCCGAAGCCGCATTCTTGGTACGAGTGAAGTCGCTGTTAATGAAACCACAAACTTTGTGTACCACCTTCCAGGTACGAGTACTCCCCTCCGTCGAAGGCGATTGGGTGCGGCGGCGCGGACACGTGGGGCATCGCGGGGCAGGGCGACCAGATCTTCTGCCCCGAGGCCAGCTACTGCCCCTCCCCCACCGAGATACGCACCTGCGACGCGGGGCGATACTGCAGGAAGGGCAGCTCCGCGTCCCGCCGTGAGTGCTGACCGACTCCCTTCTGAATTTCTTAATGGTCCGCGGCGACTTCGAAAGTGATACAGACATCACGTTAGAAAGCCCGTGCCGAAGCATGGGGCTTGATTGAGTACGTGTGGTTGGGGCCGTGTTTGCCTGACAGCTATCTGATCTACCAGCGCGTGATACATCGTCCACCTGCTTACGGGATCTTCGTTGAGCTAGAAGTCGAAGCAATCCTATGCCGAGTTAGTTGGTTTCTATATGCACCTTCCTGCTGCAATAGTTACTCATCTTCTATATGGACTCAATCAACCCGCGTGGCCTGTAAATCGCAGAGCTCAGTACTAAGATTTGAGTTGTGGTCCGGACGCCGGCTTCCCGGTTCTCAACGCGGACGGTGGGTCCCGGCTTCGAACGTTTGGACCTTTTGTCAGCGAAGTCGCACTCGCCCAGCCTTTTCATGTCGACGCCGGCCCCAAGACGGAGCTAGGGAAGCGTTGTGGATACAGGTGGCCCGATTCATAGTCATGGTTCGCCAACTCTTTCCTGCCACAGACCCTTGATAACAAAGTCCTTTCAACAAACGTTCTGACCCAATACATGCATAAGGTGCGGGCTTTCTGTTGGTGTCTTCTGTCCTTTGTACACGCTTTTTACTATCAGGAGAAAACGCCTTCCGCGCCGGTGTGCGTGCAGGATGCTCGCCGTTCGTGACTTGCGACCAGGGCACTGGAAACCAGGACCTGCATTTCATCGGTGTCGCCATCATCGTAAGCCGTTGCCTCTCAAGAGCCCAAAGCAGTCGTTCCGTGCGGTTCTGTAGTCCTTCCGCGGGTTTTGTCCGCTCAATCTGCTGAAGCGCGGTCTGACTTGTGCCCCTTGTACCATCTTATAGCGTCCACCAGATTCAAGAAGGTCTTCCCTTTGGCCACAAGCCTTGCCTTCTGTCGCAGCAAATGGGAGCTTTGACAGCTCCAAGTAATGGTTTCAGATACATTGGATGGGTTGGAAAGCAATCCCTTACATCTTTCTCTCTCTCCCTTCTTATGCATTCTTTATGAACTGACCATGCATGCCTTTGAGCCCGTTTAGGCGCTTGAAGCTTCCCTCGTACTTCTTACTGCTTCTGTGAATATCTCCCCGTCCCTCTCCGTACGTCTTTTGACGTTCAATTCACTTCAGTCAGTGTCACACTTTCTCATCCAACTCACGTGCGTCCGTTGAAGAGGCGCCGTACCTGCTTGCGCGCCTCGTTCGTTTGCTCAAAGCTTCGCCCCACTTTCTATCTGCGTTCTCAAGTCCTGCCATTATCATCGCAATTGTGGAAAGTTCCTCTGGAGGGTCCAGCTCTATTGGCAGGCCCGACGTTCTGAGCACGAGCGTCCGATCCCATACCGCAATCTGAAATTCTTGAAGAAAGTGCACAGTCGAGCAGACCGTTTGGAACCGATCAAAGGTCGGTTTCGAAAATAGCTCAGGTCGGTCTTTTGTTTAGCGGTCAAGCGTGTGCCCATCCAATCTGGACAGTCCGTCACTATGTGCAGACGCCCTTCTGACCAGACTGCGTCCGCAAGCATTTTCGGGCTTGGTCTTTCTTTCTAAACTTTTGCGGACGTCCTTCGGACGAAATGCATACGCCAATAAAAAGACCCCTGGGTTTGGAGGTTTTGTATCAAACCCAGGTGGCGTAACCTTGATGTCAGATACGTAAAAAGCTTTTTGGCCAACCGATTTTCCCGTCGGCGTAGCAACACTCAACTTGTCGCGAACTGGAAACTTTGGCAACTTCGACCCGGCAGGGTCAGTGTCGTCGGTTCGACACCGGCCGCCGACACTTTTTGTCCTGCGACCGTTTTGGATGTTCAGAGTTGAAAAAGTGCTACTACAGTGACTCTTCATTGGTGTTTTGCTCCGCTGTCGTACTTCAGGCTTAACATCGATAAGAAAGCTGCCGCTTCTTGTTTAGCGGGCTTATGCTTTTGTTCAACGGACTTCAACTCTGGGAGAAAATCCGTCTCAAAAAGCCCAGGATCTAGGGTTTCATCTGGATTCATTAGTCCGGTGTCCAGACACTCCGCTCAGACCTTAGCATTCCGGAACTAGAGAGGCACACTGCTTCCGTTCCTCGTATGCTTCTGTTTGATCTGTTACAGAAACAGAGTTGCACAAACAACAAGTCTTCCTCCAAATTGGGATGGCCAGGTTCAAGACTTTTTGAGACGCTAATCTGGGGAGTAAGAGCATTCGTTCGCATCAGAGTGGCGCAGCGAAGCGTGGTGGGCCCATAACCCACCGGTCGAAGGATCGAAACCTTCCTCTGATACAGATTTCGAGTTTCCTCTATCCGAATCATCCTTTCCAGCTGACGTAATCGAGAAATTGACGTTCTCGATAAGGAGACGTCCCGCTCGTTGATTGCCACTAGGTTTTAATCCTGCTTTGATGTTCAAAAGTGGTGCGACCCTTCGCCGGGAAAAGCCTCAATCTCAAGCACGATTTTCCTCAGACTCACTATGGACAGGGTGTCAAATTCAAACACCCCTGACTTGCACTGATCCAAATAGTGCTGATTCCGTTGGATACTCTTTCTTCCGCTCCCTTTCTAGATTCATGCGACCAGCATTTTAGGGGTACCGACTGATCTGACTCATTTAACCTCTAGCCTCAATGCGTTTCCAGCAGAGTAGCCGCCTTCATTTCGAAGCCCGCCCTTGTCTCTGGACATATACTTTGTCCAATGTCTATGGGTTTTGATTTGTCCAATGTCTATTGGGTTTTGATTTGACGACCGAGTGTGCTGATCATCAGTGACACCATTTATCGTGCATGATTGGCGCAGCGGGTTGTTTGCCACGCGTCGAAGATTCATTTGACCCGTGACGTCACCTATCAGCCGGGCAAATGATAGGCTACGTGCGGCAAGGGTGACGTTACCAGCGAGAGTGATGTACCTCGCTCTTTGCGTGTACAAAGAGTTGAAGACATAGCTCGTGTTCGTCGGCGAAGCAATCCCTCAGCGCAAGCAGTGCGACAGGCCTGGGACCCTAACGGGTCAGACTCCAGCTCAAACAAAAATGTCGGTTCAAACCCGGCCGCCGACAAAGTCCTTTCCTTATTTCGTTTTTGCCAATCTTTTGGGCACACGCTTCCAAAATTGTCTTCAGTCCTCTATATTTCTGAGTCCGGCCAAACTTCATCGATACGGCACGTTCATACCTAATTGCGTGACTGTTGTGTTCTCCTGGTCCGCACCAGTGCGTGTCATCTCTGCCCGTAAATAAATTCTCTTCCTTGCACAAGCAATGTCAAAATTCCACGGCTTCCTGCTTTCCCAGTCAGTGAATATCGTCCCTCACATCTGTCTTTTTTTTTCCTTTTTTTTTTTTTCCCTCTTTTTTTCCTTTTTTTTTTTTCCAGTTTCGCCTTTGAACGAGTATCGACTTTCCTTCTTTCGCTTCCATCTTAAAGAACAGAACGCTTTCAAGTTACTGCCGGATTCAATCCTTTCGGTACCCCGGGTGTGGTCGAATTCGAGGGAGTGCATACGAACTTAGCTGCATGTATGGATTTGCTAGGTCTGGGTCGGCTCGAAAGGCTCCGACGGAACTTGTGGTTCAGAAGACCCGATCTAGTTCTCACCTAATCAGCTATCTAATTCTGTCTGCGTCGATCCGTCCTATTGCTAGAACTGTCGAGCTGGTGACTGTGTTTGCTCGAAGTATGCAGGAAGGGTATCCTGAGTGCTGCTTTTACTCAATCAGAAAGCACAAACAGAGCTGAACAGTTTGCCTGCTGCCGAGTTCACGCTTTCAACATTTGGAACGGACTTTGCTATGTAGGGACAAACTCGTGTTGCATCAGCCGGCCAATCAGAGTGGCGCAGCGGAAGCGTGGTGGGCCCATAACCCACAGGTCGAAGGATCGAAACCTTCCTCTGATAGCATGCAATTTTCCTAAAGCCCTTTTTATGCCGGACCACGCCTGAAGTAACGTCACCCAGAACGCTGGCCCGATGACGTCACCGGCTGTCAAAGCGACGTTACTGCCTGCTAGACGTTCCGACCCATCCAACCCGAACATAGGGTTACGTACACCAACCGAAACAGATGTAGAAAGGATTCTGAACCGCAAAATCTACCGTCGGCGTAGCAACACTCCAAGATTGACATAAAATTAAGCGTACTGGCTTCGTCCACTTCGGCCCCGCACGGCCAGCTTCGCCGGTTCGACACCGGCCGCCGACGCCTTTTGTTCTCGCCTCTTTTTGAATCAAACGCTTCCGGACCCCAGCTATAAATATACCCTCGCTCCCATGTAAAATCCTGATAGACCCACAATCTTTGTTCCGCAGGTGATCCTGTTCCTGGTCCTGATCGTCATCTACAAGTGCACCGACGGCCTGATCAAGCTGCACGGCAAGGAGCGGCAGCGGCGGCGACTCCTCGCCTCGCGCGCGCTGCACAAGGTCGCCTCCACCGCCCTGGAGCTGAGCTCGGGGGGCTCCGAGAAGCGGCGGCCGGTGAACACGTGGCAGAAGGTGGTGACGTCATCCGCCGACACGACCGCGTCGCTGCTGGAGCAGCCGGGCAGCCCCCCGACCGCAGGTGACGTGGGCTGCTGACGTATGCATTTTGGGTTTAGTTAAAAAGGGAACTTGGTGTTAGCGTTGTAAAGATGGTCCCAGCCATGCGACTTTGCAGTCGCACGGCCGACCAAAATCTGCACACTGATGTTTAGTAAGAGCCAGAAGCGCTTTTTGTGTTGGCTACTTGTCTGAGGAGAATCTTCTGCTCTCTCGAGGCAGACAAAACGGGACATATCTGCCTGGAAAGTACTGCAGATCCTTAGAAACTCATCTGTGAGATAAGGACCAATGAAATTTACATCAGGTATGTGCAATCTTTGCTCGGAGTTGTGAAGTATCTATAATGGAGCCGCTCACTCATTTCGAGCACAATCGATTGACGCAATTTCCGGGACACGACGTTGGCTACTCACGCTTTGTACTGTTCTCTTATTTGGCTTCTTAATTTTGATTGCAAAGCATCATTACCAGCTTCTCAAATCGAAATTCTTGCTTGCAGAGGTTCGGAATGAAGAAGATGGGTATTCGCCGCCCGAACCGTCGTCCCCTCTGCGGAAAGCGTCGGATCCCGCAAGTAAGTGTAGCCCTAGGACTCCAAAGAAAGGTCAGAGTGCGGAATCTAGCACATTTCCCTGATGCCCAATGGCCCATAATCCCAAGCGCTTTGCGGAGAACTTGCTACCATAAATTCAGGGATCAATTATTGGTAGCAAATCACAGTCGCTACTACTTTCCTGGCTTGCGCTGTTTTGATCTGCACTTCGCCACAAAGTTTTGTACAGTTGAGTTTGTTATTGATGCCCGTTCCTAGGAAAAACTAGAGGAACTAGGAAAAACCGGAGCAATCCGTTTTCGCAGCGCGCTCCATTGCGATTCAGCTGGCGTCTGGCTCCCCTCGGGCGGTCGCCGCTTCGCCGAAAGCGGGGGCTTCGCTGGCGCTTGTGTCCCCGGTAGGCGACGGCGACCAAAGCGACGAAGACGAGTCGGCCGCCTCTACGCTGAGGTCGCCGTGGCGGAAGCTACCAAAGGGGTCAGCTTTTGAACCTGCTTTACCGTAGGAGCATTTGCTTGGAATGTGGATTTATGAGTGGCAGCGATCGACAATGGGTCAGACAGGCTCAAATCTGACAGTGCGCAGGAAGTTGTTTGCTTGGTCGTGGATGCGGGCACGACTATGCTGAAAAGGAAAACACTGATTAGAGTGTATGCGCTCCTGCATTCTTACATGGTTCCAGCAACGCTAACAATCTGGGTCCTTTTTGAGAGCATTGCCAGGAGTGACTTTGGGCCTAAAAGAACGGAGAGAAGGAGAACGTGGACTGCAGTTTGCAGTCCCAGACCCCCACACCGCTTGGTATTCTGTGCGCGAGCACCGGGTCTGGGAACATCACCGCCGGCGAGGTTTGACATGCCCGATCGCTGGTGACCCACATAGGGGTCTTTCACTTAGATGTTGGCCGCGAAGGCCGCACTGATGTTCGATTCTTGACGGAGTACGTACCGGCCCGCGCGCGCCTTAAGTTCCAGACGGTGTGGGGCCTGGGACTGCAAACTGTAGTCCGCGTTCTCCTTCCACCGGTTCTGAAAGCACACAGGGTTGAGATAGCGGAGCTCCAGATCGACTCGTGCGTGACTGATATACTTTCACAAGGCTCAAATCATGGAACCTCAGTCTATCGCTTCACATGGCTCACTCCGCACACGGTCTGGTCAAACCTCGTCCGATTCGAAATCCCTAACTACCCACTTGAGGAAGTTCTAGTGTGATCTGCGAACCACCATCCCTGCTTGATGAAGAAAGCAATTATGCTAAGTAGTTGTTTAAGCTTCGAATGCTCTTTCCAGGCTGCCCCCGGAGGACTACCAGTACGTCTTCGAGCAGCTCGCTGCGCAGAAGCGGCGCGATGGCGAGGCGCAGGAGCCGGCCGCGGGCGCGTCGCCCGCGGAGCTGGCGGCCCAGGTGCAACATCGACCAAAAATCTCGGCACCCAACTCTCGGACATTGATATTAAGATCATATCACTGAGAAAACTAATGATTGCTACTGAGAAGGGACTTCCTTCCATATTCGCCAAGTTATGCTTTTGACTTGAGCTTTGATCAAATGCCTTCACCTCCTTGTCGGACGTTTGACATGAGGCTCTTCCCCGGGCAGATGTCGCTCTCACTTTGCCGCGCCAAGGAAAGGAAAATGTCGGCGATTGCAGAAAGCACAAGCACATTTGTCCTTTCTCTCTTTACTTCCTCATATAAGGGATCCTTAGCCAGCAGGCATTTCCTCTTCATCAGCCCGGCCGTCTTTCAAACGGCGCGGGGGGCCGTACTTTCCAACAAAAGGGCGACCTTGAAAGGAGCCTCGAGACTGTCTTACGATTGCCTTAAAAATCTACACTTCTTGAAGAGTCAATCTGGTCGCCCTGTATCCAGGCGGCGAGCGTGAGCGGGCGCGTGCCGCCGATCGAGCTGGACATCCGCCGCCTGGGGCTGCGCCTCAAGAAGAGCGGCAAGATGATCCTACAAGACGTCACCGCCAGGCTGAGGCCCGGCCGGGTGACAGCTGTCATGGTGAGGAGCCGCCACGTGGCAGAACATCAGGCTGCAAAGGTCGGGCTGCTAGGCCCTCGCGCTGGCGGCCGTGAATGGCGCTTGAAGAATTTTGTGGAAATCGCATGGTTAGTTGGCTCGAACGGTGCACCCAACGTTGACGATGGAAGGCATTGAGCTTCTGGTCAATGAATTTTGAGTTCAGTTGGAACGATAACAAGGGCAAGTTTTGTGTGCGATCTCGTCAATATATCGCACCGTCCCATTCCTTTCCACGCAACCTAGCAGCTTTCAAACCGGATAAATCTCACTCATGAAATCAGGCCACTTGTCCGCCATTCGCTCTTTCCGGAGATCCTCTTCTTTTCAAGAACAAGCGAAGATGGCCCCCTCTCGTCCTTTCAGGGCCCGTCTGGCGCGGGGAAGACGTCATTCCTGACGGCCGTCGCCGGCAAGGAGACCCGGTGCACCGTGACCGGTACGGTGCTCATCAACGGTCGGGAGGGCAGCATCCAGTCGTACCGGAAGATCGTGGGGTTCGTGCCGCAGGTTAGTCCATCAGTGCTTACCTCCCAGGAAATATGCAAAATGGGATTGTCATCTAGTGCAGGAATGGGAAGAAAGGAGGCGTGACACGTGGCAGCACTTCAAACGAGGACCATACGCGAGGTTGTCTGCTTTTCGACCCAAGTGGTACTTGGTTAGACCCCAGTCGAACTATTTGAGGCGGTGGGCATCTCTAAACCTGCGGGAAGGGAGACGAAAGGGCATCAAAAGAGTCGAAATCCGAAGTTCGTACGTGATGTTACAATGCTCACGATCTCGCGGGACAAGCATGGTCTCACTTGTTTTTTAACAATGTTGGTGCACACAAGATTGAAAACTTTGTTGCGTCGCTGCGGTCGATATTTAACGTGAATACACTGGCCAAAGGAGCTTTCTGAAATGTGCTCTCACAAGGCGTGTCTTTCGGTCTGCAGGACGACATTGTCCATGGCAACCTCACGGTGGCCGAGAACCTGTCGTTCAGCGCCAGCTACCGGTAAGACTCAATTATAGATTCCAACATTTGATTTGGTAATCTAACATTCTAACGAAGTGGAAGGGCTCCAGTCTCTCCAACTAGCCCTGGAAAAGCCGTATAAAACAAATTCCAGAGTTGCATCTCAATAAAAATTGCTGAAGGAAGGCAAAGTCACGCTGCAGTGGTTTTTTTGAGGAAGTTAGCAGCCCTCACAAGCATCATTTGGCAGAGCGCACCGTTTTTCCGTAGCCTGGGTAACGCGGAGCAACCGGATTCGGCGCTTTATCGGCGGGTGCATATTTCGACGGTTACGATGGTTTCACTACAAGTCGGACGGCCGAGAAGAACGTTGAAACTCATTTGAAATCACCGTCGATAACCGGATTGACGGTCGTACGGTCACGACCTACGTGGCTCCTACCTCCGGCGTAAGCCCACGGCCCCAACGAGAATCACTTCCGCTATAAAAGCGAACTGCGTTTGTCCATTTTGGCATTGGCTACGACCAATTACAGTATCTGTTCTAGATGGCTTGATAGGCTATCTCCCAAACACCTATCAGCTATTTTTCGGGGCGGGGGGGCTGAACCAAGCTTGCTTGGACCCCCCCAGCGTCGCCTCTGCCTTGCACAAACCGCAAAGGAGGGCGCAGCCCACATCCACATCATCAATAACCTCCCCTCCCAACATCTGATGCCAACATCCCATACGTTTCCCCCCATTCATCTGCCCTTCACTCGTCGCGCACAATTCCCAAGTCAAATCATGATTACTGCTTTTCAACAAACATTCCTCTCGATACCTTCCTTGAAATCTTTGTGCCCTTCGTTCAAAACTCAGTTTCGTGGATGTACGCTGTTTCAAAAGCAAGCCTCTCGCGCTCTCATTTCTTGTTTATCAGCTCGTAACCACCGCGAGCCAGCATGCGTCCATTGCAAACCAGACGGGAGTCGCTTTACAAACCCTGCCAACCGCCCCAAACCCCGAGATCCAGCGCAGACTGCCCGTCGGCATGGCGCGCCGAAAAGCGATTGTGGATCGCTGTGGATTGCACCATCTGGGCGCTCATGCGCCATATCAACCTGTTTCAATCCCCAAACTCAAAACCCCGCACAGGCTGCCCGTCGGCATGGCGCGTCGCAACCGCGTGTTCGCGGTGGAGCGCGCGATCTGGGCGCTGGGCCTGGAGTCGATCCGCGACGCGCGCGTGGGCACCGTCGAGCAGCGCGGCATCTCCGGGGGGCAGCGGAAGCGGGTCAACGTTGGGTTAGAGATGGTTGCGGAACCGAGCCTGCTCATACTGGACGGTAAGAAACATCCGCGCGCCTGATTTCATTCTCGGTTTCAAATGAACAAACAGAGTCCCTTTGAAATTGGAGCATTCCCTTCACCAAAATAGAGGAACAGTCGATTCGGGCGCTCTTTTGGAGCAGCGGAAGCGGGTCAACGTTGGCCTAGAAATGGTAGCGAAGCCCAGCCTTCTCATTCTGGACGGTACGAACCTTGCTCTCGAGATTGCAGTTGCTCGTTCGGAAGCAGCAGAAGCGGGTATACCATCGGCCCCAAGCTGGTGACAGAGCAAAGACTCCTTTACTAGTCATTCCGTGTTTTGATCGTTTCGTTCCGAGAGGCGACGTCCGGCCTGGACAGCACGAGCAGCCTGCTGTAGAAACGTTTCCTTCGACCGTTCATTCCGCTCTTGATTAATCATTTCACAGAGCCAACGTCCGGCCTGGACAGCAACGAGCAACGTGCTGTAGCAACGTTCCAATTGACCATTCCGCTGTCTGACCGTTCGTTCCGTTCTCCATCGTTCCGTCCGCAGAGCCGACGTCCGGCCTGGACAGCACGAGCAGCCGGCTGGTGGTCCAGGCCTTGCGGCGGGAAGCGGCGCGCGGCGTCAACGTGGGGGTCGTGCTGCACCAGCCAAAGTGAGCCATGAACCGCAGGAAATATCAGGGATCCCCTCGTTCGTCCTGGTCTTTTCCCCTGGCTTCCATGTTGATGAGAAAGTCCGGGGTATGTGGGATTCGAACCCTGTCCGTAATCGTGATCCTGTCTGCAGCAGGGATCGTTTTCGTGGCAAAACCGAGAACTTCGTTGGAGAGCATGTAAACAGCTCTGATCTCACGGGATGAGAACTTCGGCATCCAGATCCCGTCTCGTTATGGATGTCGCAACTGCGAAATAACAACATCGGCTGGAAATTCTGTCCAAGAAATATGTTCAAGAAATGTTGTGGAAACCAACAGAATAAGCGTCAACCAAGTTCTGCTCCTCGCTGATGCAGCTACACGCTCTTCCGGATGTTCGATGACGTCATGTTCCTCGCGAAGGGCGGCCGCGTGTGCTACTTCGGGCCGGTGCCCCACGTGGAGGCCTACTTCGACCGCCTCGGCTTCCACGTCCCCGACCGGACCAATCCTCCTGACCACTACATGTGAGAATTCAGGGTTTCAATGATTCGGAGTCCTTCCTCTTGTTTGTTTGGGGATTTTGAGAGCCGTCGCAGGCGTTTTTGGAAGCTTCGATGGAAGGGTCACGAAGGGACGAGCGTGCCAGGCCTTTGTCGTTCGCTTTCGGCGGATGCAGGCAGACATCACAACCGGAAGCAACGAGAGAAAAGGGAGATGTACGTGCCTTCGCAAAAAAGATTGCCGTTGGAGAGAAGACGTATTGCGGTTTCTTGAAGCAAAACCGAGCTTCGATCTTCGATCTTCCGCATGGTTGACGCAGCGCATATTAAACGTTTTGCTTTGACAAGAGCCATCAACAAGATCCTACTTCACCCGCTCCTTACTTTTTCCCACCCAATGTGAGCCCCGCTGAAAGCCAAATTATACCCGCTTCGTTTCCTAGGGACGTTTTAGAAGGCGTCATCAAACCCGAGAGCAGCACAAGCTGCACCCACGAAGACCTGCCGCGGCTCTGGGCCGAGCGGAAAAGCGCTCCGGCGGAAGATTCCGATCTGCCCATCAGCAGAAGCGGAAGCGGACTCAGCGAGTCGGGTATGCGCAATAGAAAGGCGGAGCGGCCAAACGGAACGGCGGATCGTCTGAACGGAACGCTGGACCGTCCGGGCGGAAAGGCAGACCGCCGGACCGGAACGGCGGATCGCGCGGAAGAGGCCAGTAGCAGCGGGTCAGAGTGGAACGGAGACGCAAGCGATGAGATCATCATTCTGCCGGAGGATACGGTGAGTATCCTCCCGCCGAAATAGACAATGAATGTAGAGAACCTTCTATTTTCTAGAGTAAGCCGCATTGACCCACCAAGTCGGAGAGCGAAGAAGGCTCGACAAAGAGCCTTGTGATGCAAGAAAGATCGTTGCGGGCGTGTGCTCAAACGGTTGGCAATGAGTATTCCACTTCATATGAGGACCACAGAAAGACTCCGTCCCGCAACATTTTGCATAAATCATCTTCTATAATGGCTGAACAAGTTATTCTTGTGCAGAGCCTCGCGCGCGTGTTTTTGCTTAAGTGCTCCCGAAAGGCGCGCCGGTGGGCGCGCGCGCGCCAAGAAGAGCTGTGGGAAGCGTGCCACCCCGCGGCCGACTACTCGGGGCGGCGCACCCCGGGCTTCCTCCGCCAGTACATAGTCATACTGAAAAGGTCAGTTGGATGCTTCGGACATCCTAGTAGACACTCCTTGGAACCTTGGAACTTGGAGAGTTGGGAAAGTCTGAACGTAGCAGCCAATTACTGGAATCCATAAGCGCAGCACTTTTGGTAAGTGATGCATGTTTTGCAGCAACCCGAAAGTATTGAGGGTGTCTCCTCCTTGAGAAAACAGCCATAAGCTTCGCCAGTTGTTAGGCTTGCTGCCCTGGACCATTAAGATTCTTTCCAAAACTTTAATGGAAGAGTGGCTTCGTACACCCTTGACAAGCATCAAAACCCCCTGCATTGTCCGTACGATCGGAAAGATTCACTGAAAAGTCTACTAATTAACAATCCTTCTAAAACTTGAGCAGCTTTGAAAGGCTACAATTTGACTCGAAAGGCATCAGGAGTGTCATCAGCCCCCAAACGTTGAGCGCCCGAACCCTCCATTTCGCGCAGGACCGCGCGGCAAAAGTTCCGCGAGCCGCGCGTCGCACTGCAGGACTACATCATTCTGCTCATCACGGGCGCCGCGCTGGGCTTTCTGTCGACCACTAACGACGACCAAATGGGAGGCTTCTCCGCGCACTCCAATTCCATCCTCGCAGTTGGTGGGCCCTCCATACCTAGTTCCTCTTGACAATCTTTCGGGATGATGCAGATTCTACCCAATAGGGATCTGCTAGCCCAGATTGCGCAGCTCTGCTTATCTTGTTGACACCAGCGTAGCTAGAGAGGGCCGAAACCGCTAGTGCTGCTAGTTAACCAGCTAAAAGCCACACGAAAGAGTGACAGTGCTCTTGGATTTCCTTTTAAATGCTTCATACCGGTAAACCGCGTCGTTGGGCAGTTTACCTTTCGATCATACGGCTCAAACGGCTCCCCCGGTTGTGTAGCGACTGTCCGCTTTTCTTTCGCGGTCTTGGCTCCAGCCTTTTGCGGCTTGCAAGTGCCTCCGCCGAGCGCTTAGCGGGGGGCACTTGGGAAAATCGAAGGCTTGTTTTTCACATGCATTGATACGTAACTGCGCGGCGAAACACATATATGCCCGTGTCTTTTCTGTCTTGCTCTAGGACCCGCGCCTCCTGACAACCCGGTTAACTGATCATTGATTGGTTGAACTTTTCGAGTTGTCCTGACGTGTCCAGGGTCAGGACAAAAATTGCCTTTCTCTTTGGCAGGCCTCCTGTGCATGATTGCCGCGCTTCGGACCTTCAGCCAAGACCAGCTCAACTACTTCCGGGAGGCCGCCTCGGGGATCAACAAGGTGGGTTACTGCTAACCACTTTGTAGCCTTAACTCAGATGCCCTTTGCGGCCCATTATTTTGAGCAACAGAAGGTCTGTTCCTGTGCTTGGTCTACATGTTTGAGAACACGCAGAGTTGTTTCCGGTCGCTGGCTCGACGTTTCCATAACTGACCGGACCGTCTTTCACGCCTGCAGACCAGCTACTTCCTTGCCAAGGACGCCGTTGACGTAAGCTCCCCGCTCTCTGCCGTCAGCATTGTCGCTGCCCCGACATGACCGCAGTGATCTGCATTGATCCGTGCTTGAACAAGGTTTAGAATTGTGACCCCTAACACAATAAAAAGTACCATACAACCCCGTGCGCGTTTCAGCCGATAAAATCAATCATGTTAACGGATTGCTTTCAAAGGGTCCATGACAATAGATAAGCGTCACATTCCAAGGTGTCTTGCGGTTTTATGCGCCGCGCGGCCTCCACGTCACCTTTCTGGATATAAAACCCTGCCCCTTCCTGTTGCAGCTGGTCCACGTGCTCCTGAAGCCCCTCTTCTACCTGAGCCTCTTCTACTTTTTCAACAACGTGAGTGCCATCTGCTTTAGGAACACGAAAAGCTCCCACTATGGAAGATCAAGCTCCGTCCTGCTCTGGAATTCTTTGGCATCCTTCAGCTTCCCAATCAGCGGACTGCGGACTGAAACGGCTCTCGAAGAATAGGTACAGCTTTTCTCATGGAAGATTTCTCATTGTTGACATCCCCAGTCAGGCTCTCGGAAATCATTAGGAGAGCCAAAGTCGCCGGTAGTTAGCGTTAGTCTTCTTTTCGTGACTTTTTCGTTCAGTAGGACTGACGCTGCATGCTTCCTCCGAAACTGGCCGCCTGACCCGATTCCCTCGTCCATCCTTGCAAAAATCTGGGCCCTTTGAGGATCAAGTGCAGGCCCTTTATAATCAGGCGCAGGCTTTGAGAAAGTTGTAAATGATGACGAAAATTTCAGGCCAATGGAGCTCTTGTGTTCCCCTTCCTCATGTGCAGCCGCGCTCCACTTTTGAGGCCAATTACGGCATCACGGTCGCCATAGCGTACTGCACCACGGGGGTCGCTTATATCTTCGCGATAGCGATGCAGCCAGCGGCCGCCCAGCTGGTAAGCGCTGCAGCTCTGAATCGCGGCAGAAACTTTTCTGTTGTTCCCACGTGGCTTCCTTGTCAGCTACGTGAGTTCTGCATTATTTACGATTTTGGAGCGAACTTTGGACGTGTTCAATGCGGCAAAGGGGTTGCGAAAGATGCATCCACAGCTTTCGTACGGCAGTCCGTTCCGTTCGGGCACGAAGCGCCAGAGGCGCCCTTGATGTCGTCACACATCATGAGTGCAATGATGAGAGGGGCAAAAGCCAGGTCAAATTGCACCACGTTCCTTAACGTGCAAAAGCTAAACACAACTTTGACCCCCAATACTTCCGAGAAAGGCCCGGAGTCCTTCGCTGCAGATTCATCTCGCTGTCCCACAATCTTTCGAGCCGCCCTACAGATTCCAACAACCTAAGCACTAAGCCATCGAAAAAGAAAGACTCAAGTGGTGTCCTCAATCGCCAAATCACCTTCTTCCCGCTTTCAGAGCTCCGCCGTGTTCGCGTTGGTGTCGGTCCTCCTCGGGTCGCGGCGGCGGCCGCGGTCCGTCGTCATCCGCGCGCTCTATGACCTCACCTACGCGCGCTGGGCGCTCGAAGGATACGTGGTGGCGAACGCGGAGAGGTGAGACCGCGGCCTTCCAACATTCAGGCATACTGCAGGCAACTCTCGTGTGAGTTAACGGCCGTGTGACTTAATATTCAGGCTACCCGGGCACACAAACTAAAACTCCTTACCGTATGAGTTACACGCTCCGCACCCCAACCCACCCTAACCACCTTACCCTACCCCACTTATCTCCCGGGCGCCTATCTTAAGTCCCACGCCCGTTAAGTCACACAAGAGTTGCCAGAGTCATTCAGGCTAGTCACGAGTACTCACGTGGCAATAGCTTAGGTGTCGGTTCCAGATTCCAGCGTAGATCCGGAAGAGATTTGGGGTGCGACTGTTGGTGTGGTTCAGCATGTCTCGCCGGCAGAGGTGGATGAGGTTCGAAGAGTGGCGAACGGGGAAGCTTGAAAACGAGAATGAGTATGATCGAACCCTGCAATTTGGCCTCGATCCTTCCTGTCTCTCCTTTCTTCGCTCTCGGTTAAGGAAGACCATCTCTTGTGAAAAGCCCTGTAAGCTGAACACATTAAGCTACATCATGCACCCTTTTTGATGCCATGCTTTCGACAGAGTTATCGTGGCATTGCTCCTCTCGACCGACTCACCAATTATCTTTCTTGCAATAGCAGAGGCTTTCCAACGCCCAAATCCGAGAACCTGAGGTTGTGATTGTGCGGTTGACTCACTTTTTGTTTCCATCATAACCGCAGGTACGCCGGAGTCTGGCTGCTCACCCGCTGTGCGGTCTTGGCGCGGATGGAGTATGACCTCAGCAACTACGTCCGCTGCGTCTTCATGCTGTTCCTCTACGGCTTCCTCGCGCGGTGCGGGGCGCTCTTCTGTCTCCACATTTGTCACAGGGAGAAGCAACGGTAGAGGTAGACAACCGTGATATATCTAACAAAAGCGTCCTTGATGACTGGACCGTAACTCGGACTCCACCTTGATTACCTTATCCTGAACAGCGAGCGTTTATGAAATGCCAACATCAAAGTCGGATAGGATTGCACGCTGCAAGGTAGAAAAGTATCACTGCTAGACTTTGAACAAATAGATCAAACAAACCCTGATTAAAACGCATCTTTGTAAGTGATCTGCAGGATGGCAACAGGGAAACAAAGACCATGGACGGGTAATTCCAGTAGATAGACATGGCTCACCGCGCCCAGGTGTCAGGATTCATATTAGTCATATCATTACGATACTAAGATGGCGGCTGCAGGACTATGTAACAGTCAGAGGCTACCTGATATTCAGTGTATGAGTGTAAGGTGACAGTCAACGACCATGCTAGCTCAGTGCCCAAAACAACAAAAGCTTGTGACCCAATTCGTTGTACACATCAGCGTAATACCATTCCACTTGGGAATCGTGACGGGTCAATATATAAGAGCACTGGGCCGGCCGGCCTGCCAGCGCAGCTGGGTAATGCAGTGCAAATCCGAGTGACGGGCCCACAATACAAGTCGAACTGTAAGTGACCATGAGCGCGCGACATGATCATGCGTGATCCGACCTTTCAAAGCATCAAGGTCGGACGTCCTTCAATGAATAACGATATACATGCAATATGTTATGTTTAGGATGCACACATGAGTTGTCCAGGTTCATATACACTCGATGTAAGTGCATCCTTATTTTAAGCACTTCCGCACTCTGTCCAGGCACCTCGGCTCTTCATCCCTGCAAAACGTGAAGCAGGGCCCCAAAATCTCAGAATGCTGTTTACAATGGCGGGGCAACAGCAAGACTTTATCGTCGTGTGTTCTTTGTCAGGGCATGGCGGATAGCTCGGTGCCATTATGTCAATTGGTGCACGCTTTAGTAGGGCCAGCTGTATACCTAGTTCCAAGACTTGAGCTGTACGTATATTATACCTTTCCGAGTCTGGTGATTGATAGCAATCGTTCTGCAAATCAAGCATGCTGTCACGAGTTACAATCGTGCACTGTGGCTATGCATGCCAGTAAAAGTTGGTATTAAGGATTGCATGGGATATACAATCTAAACCCACACGTGACACAGTCGTATAGTTCCTAGATACATGAATAAGTTTGCATCAATTGCCGGTGGATATGTGCACGCACGCACACAAATCAAGAGGTTGATGACTAACCAACCATAAACTCATATGTACATGCATAGGCACCCTACCTGCACGCATATATATACATCTAAAGGACTAGGACCTGAAAGCACACCTTGACACTTTACCCAGCGTCTGCCGTGGGGCAGCCACGTCTTCCACAAATACACAAGAGGTTCATATCCACCTTCAACAATCCAGGTCGTCCACACTAAGCTAGCGGTTGCCTTCGACACTTTCCGACGTCCACACTAAGCTAGCGGCTACCGACGAGGTACGCCCAATCACCTGTAAAAGCCACACGAATCTTTCAAAAGGTGGCTAATGTGAAAATAGAGTCAAGCAATTGACCAACAAATATGACGGGCTTCATATGGGGATATCATGCAACGGGCGCATGTCTGATGAGCTTGCCTCACCAGCAGATAGCCTCACAGAAAACAAGCTACCAAGTTGAGCTGACCGTAGGGGGGGGTCAGATATGTCCCTCTGATAGGCGAATCTGAAGCCAACATATTTAGAGATCTCTAGCTCTTTTTAACAAGCTGGCTGGCCCTTTATATTATTAAAAGAGTACACAAAATCACCAGCTTCAGTATCCTTCTCCCAGTCGCACCGTCTTTCAGAACCCTCTCATCAAAGAAGAGGCCACTTATGTCCTTGTCAGGTTAAATCGCCAAGACAAAAGGCATGGGTTGCTTCATACTCGTGTCAAAAAAGCCAAAGACAGCACTGAAAAGCTGAATATAGATGCATCAGCTCAGAATTAAGCTGGAGTGATACTCCTTCTGCCAAATCTGGTTGAATAAGCTTTCTTCTTGCTCTTAACCTTTGGTCAGTCATTGTCGTAAAACCCTTGGACACAACTTGCTAACAATCAGCTACCTGCCACTGTCTTCAAACTCGCTCTTATAGCTCTGAAGAATCGGGCAAATCATCATCATCATCACCAAAGGGCCAGCGACACTTCTTCATGAAACCTATCACATCTCCAGCTATCTCTACTCCACAGCACAAAATCATTGACTACCACATATTGGCCAGCATCTCTGCCCCACAGCACAGAACCATTACCAATCACAAAAAGGCCAGCATCTCTCTTCCACAGCACAAGACAATTACCTGTCACAAGAAGGATAGTATCTCTTCTCCACACCACAAAACCATTAAGTATCACCAGAAGGCCAGCATTTCTTCTCCACAGCAATAAACCATTACCCATCACGAAAAGGCCAGCATCTCTTCTACACAGCACAAAACCATTAACAATCACCAAAAGGCCAGCATTTCTTCTCCACAGCAAAAAACCATTACCTATCACAGAAAGCCCAGCATCTCTTCTCCACAGCCAAAAACCATTACCTGTCACAAGAAGGCCAGCATCTCTTCTCCACAGCACAAAACCATTATCAGTCACGAGGTTGGAGCAACGCAATCATGAGATTGGAGCGACGCAATCCAAACTTACGGATGAATATCTAAGAACAAAGGGATACGAACCCCCGCAAAGAAAGCAAAATAAACTAAAAGCTCACCTTATGACAGGTTGAGCCGCTCCTTTACCGCGCTGATGATTTGCGCGTACTCGTCGGCCGACAGATCGCCGAACTTGAACATCAGCCCCTTCCGCTCATGGGGCCGCATCTGATCAAGGTCGCACCGAGAGGCTTTGCGAAGCCCGCTTCTTGTGCTGAGCTGCACACTGTTTGGTGGGTTGGCCACCCCGCCACCGGTCGTGCATGGCGCTACCGTCGCCCATATGGACCGCTTGCCGTAGTCTTTGCTTAGAACTACTGCCGGCCTTGATTTTAACTTCTCCTTCTCCGAGGAACGTTCGCGTTTTGGGTAGTAAAATGAATACCAAACTTCCCCGGGCTAAGATTTGGGGGGCTTGGACCTCTTCGTCCGCTTGCGAAGTTCCGCCTCGAGCTTCGCAAGAAGCATTTCAAAGTGCGCTTGATCTGCGCCTGCATCAATGGTTTTCAGATCTTCAAAGGTCAGCTTGCTGATGTCGCCAATCTGCGCTTCAGCAAATTCCTTATCGGACACCGCAAGCCTGCTTGCCTCCCCCTTCTTCCTCGCCTTTGGCAGCTTGGCCGTGTGGAGGTAGCGACCGCAGACGCTCCTTGCGATCCGGGCAAAAGAGCTGACCGTCATCTTCTACAACGCCGGAAAACCTATCTTGCAGACACTGAAACAGCACCTCCACTATGCAGGCGGCCTGGATAACCTGTTTATCCAGGTTTATTAAACAGGAAGTTTACTTCCAACTTTTTGGTGCTTCAACTTTTTGAACTCTCGCCGTCGGTGACCGTAGAGGACGAGAAACCGGCGGAAATGTGCCATGACGCCTTCATCAGGTAGATCGCCGCGTTTCGGGGGGCAACCAAATGAAGTTGAACCTTATCTGACGGCCCAAACGCGTCCCACGGATCCCTAAGATCTCGCGATCGATCGGACGGTCGTGAAAATTCGAATTTTGGCATAGCGTCACTTGACTGATAACGGTATCGGAGAGGAATTTGCCACCTGGCCCCCCGCTGCAAATCTGGCTCACCGCCGGAGCTGTTCGAAACGGTTACGATCGAATTTGGGGCCTTCCGGCGGTCCGCCGTCCCGGGTGCCCTCCTAGTCTAGAGCCGTGAGTACTTAGGGAAAGAGGGAGGCCGGAAAGATGAGCAGAGGTGGTCGGAGTGTTAGACAGCGCTCCCAGTCGATTCCAAAGGGGCAGCTTCGTGCATGTTGGTGCATGTTGGGGGGTTTGGGCCATGGCAACCCCCACTGGACACTACCAAGTTTCGGATTCAGCTCAGATCGGACGCGGCTTGTACTATATAGGCGAGGAGTGCGTCCGACCGGCCGAGGTTGGGCAGATTTCGAGCAACTGCATCACATGCAAGCAGCAAGTCTGGTCGAAAGCAGGCAGTACAGATGGAAGCTTGAGGCTGAGCTTCCGCAAGAGCACAATGAAGGGCTATTTGGTGGGCTGCAGCGTTCCAAAGAGCAAGCAGAAACGCCAACTCCTTTGCCTCGGATGCGTGGGCAAGCTGATGAGCCAGCTAAGGCTCAGCGCCAATGCAGAGAGTGTGAGCCTGTGCGACCGCGGGCACGGCCAGCAACATGCGATGTTGTTCGAGCGGCAGGCCTCGGGGAGCTGGAGGCAAAAACTGGAGCTGACGAACGAGCTGCTGGAGGCTGTTGTGATCTCAAACGAAAGCACCGTGAGCAGGAAGAAGCCGAAAAAGGCGGCAGCAGAGAGCGCACTTAACAGAGGGATGCAAGCGGGAACGCGGGCGCGCGAGATGCTGGTGAGTGCGCAGATTTTCTTAGTAGAACCTATGAGGATTTCCAATGCAACATGCGTCTGCCACCGATTGCGCCCGTCCCCTGAGATTTCAATGGACACACTGTCTTGCCTGTGCCCACGCTAAGAGGGGGAGCACAAGGACCGACTACATGCTGTTCATGGAATTTCTCATGGCCCGCCACTTGAAAGGCGGGTTGATGCGTAAGATCCCAGCTGCGATCTTGAGGTGCTCGTTCAGCTCCGACTGTGAGCAAGGCGTGAGGTTGTTTTCTGAGAGCGGTCAGGAAGTGTGCCTGAAAGATCTTGTTGGCACAGGTCTGCAGCCTGAGGCCCACCTCGGCATCCCGGCCCAAGCTGGCCTCTTCTTGAGCGGCGTCCTGGAGGGCACGTGCCGCATAGTCGTACCAGCTGGAGTGGACGAGTGTGAGGCCAGCCCTCCACGGCTCTACATGACGCATTGGGATCACAACCGAGGGAGGCCGAAAGCTCTCGGCAAGCCGAGCAAGGAAAAGGCGCTGCTCGAGGAATGCTGGTGGGATAGCCAGGGACACTCGAATTGCTCATGTGATCGTGGCAGGCTCGCCAGGGATGCTGCTTGCGTTCATAAGCTGGTGCTCGCGGCCCTCGGCGCTCCGGGGTCGGAGCAGAGGGGCCTCCCCACGGCCAGAGAGTTGGGGCGCGAAGCGGGCGTGGTCGAGCAGGTGGGGGCGGACTCCACGGGGCGCTTCTTTGCAGCAAGGAGCAGCCCAAAAGGAGTCAGCCCGGCGCACAAGATGCTGCACCGGAACGTCGAGGGCGCCTGGTATTGTCAGGGGAAGAGGGACGGCTGTCCGTCGCAGCACGACTGTAGCCACATTCTCGCTGCCAAGCTGGCCATCCAGGCGGGGCAGGTCCATTCAGCACAGGGGCCGCTCTTTTGGCAGGATGCCCTAAGTACAGCGAGGCAGTGGTTGGAGCGATGGGACGGAGCGTTGCCTCTGCTCGGTAGGAGGGCGGGGGAGAGCGAGGCGCGCTCGAGTTGCGAAGGGGCCAGCGAGGAGGAGGCGCACCTGATGGGCCTCATCTCAGGGCAGCGCCACGAGCCGGCCGGGTGCGCCGGTGCAGAGTGCTTCTGTCAAGAGCACCAGTGTTTGGAGTGGCTGAGCCGTCCACGTCAGCACCCCACGGGCTGGGCGTGAGCGAGCCATGGAGGGGGGCGCGCAGGAGCAAACAGTGCTGGAGGAGTCATGCGGGCGGGGCTCCTTCGGCGGTGGCACCCCAGAGTGTTCGGGAGCCGCCCACGGAGGCGCTGAGCAAGGAGGCGATCCGATGCAGGGTCGCCTCCTGCGGCAGCTGCACGCTGGAGGGTGCCCAGCGGGGATGTCATCACGCAGGGTCGGGTAGGGCCCCGGCGGTCATGCTTCAGGAGACGCAGGCCGTCCAGGTGACGCAGCCGAAGCTGAGCCAGCTGAGCGACGCGCCTGACTTCCACGACCCTTGGGTGACGCGGCTCAGATGCGGACCGATTCGAGTGAGCAAGCTGGTGGGGCGGGACTTCCAAGAGCTGGGCGAGCTCGGGATGCTGAGCGCGTCGTGTCCTCTCGAACCGCCTCCGTGCGGCGGGGGGTGGGTGGAGCTCTGGCAGGACGCGGTAGTGCATGCATCGACCTGGAGTCAGGCCGTGCGCACCAGAATCTACTCCTGCAAGTGCCCGAGGAAGCACACCATTCACTTCGACGGGGAGCACTTGGGGCTGTACGTCTGGAGCCGTCAGACGATTATCGTACAGGAGAGCCTACAGCTGTTGCTGAAGCAGATGCAGCGGGGGCAGTCGGGATTTGGGGCACTGCTGGAGGGACAGCAGGAGGCCTTCCGGAGGGCTCCAGAGTCCGCCGTGCTATCCGAGGAGACGTGGCGGAAGGCCAGCCTCGATTTCTTCCGGCTGGTGGGGCGGCAGATCCTGGAGTGCTGCAGCATATGCGGTCCGCACACGGAGGTGAGCATCCTGATCGGAGGAACTTAAAAGAAGATGAGGCCGCTTGGAAAGGTGTAGCACTTGAGATGGTGATGGCCCCTTGGATACTTTTTGAAAGGAGGGCTTCACTGCTCAACTCAAGGCATGTTTTTGATGAAACCCGCAAGTCCTCGAACCTGTTGCTTCTGCCGGTTGATGGATCAGTTCTGATGAACTTGCTTGATGGTGCTCCCACAGGTCCTTCTATGCGACGGGATCGTGGGAATTTCGAACTCCGACGGAGGGAAGCGCCCCGGAGGGCTGGGGTCGACCTCGCACGACTTCCGCAGGCCGTTCACGCATCCGGGGCGGTCTGCAGACGGCGCTCCGTTTGAGAAGCAATCGGTTGCGGGGCGCGACTATTGCGCTGCAGGGCTGGAGGGTGGTGGGATGAAGCGGCGCCTCGTTCTGCAACCGGAGCTGAGGGAGCTGATTGCGCGCGTCTCTCGGCATCGACCCGAGAGCGAGAAGCTCGGCCAGCCACTGAGCGAGGCCGAGTACCTGGGTCTGAAGGGGGCCCTTGCCAGGGAGGACGTGCTGCTCGTGACCCGCTTCGTTCCGGGCGATGGAGAGGGCCCGGTGCCTGCAGACACCAGACGCCGCCTCTTGGTCGAGCAGCGCCAGATGGTACGGGACAAGAATCGGGCGATGCTGCGGTTGCTAGAGGGGATCGAGCTGGAGCAAGCGGCGAGGGGTGGGAGCCCGCGGCTGTGGCAGCATTGGCCGTGCGAGTGGGGCGAGTTGCTGTACGACCTGGGGGCACACGACTCGGACGACGGCATCATCGGCCACTCCGACGGGCTGGCTGTGGTCCGCGAGCTGCTCTTTGGGGAGGACGCGAGCATCGAGGATCGCCGCCAGCTGGGGGAGCACTCTCCCATCTTGCGGCGTGTGCTGGACGCCCAGGGCGGGCACCGCTTTCCAGCTTTCTTTCTGCCCGCCTTGCATCATCTCTACGAGCTCACGTTGCTGGCGCGCGGCAACACCGGGTACGGCGATGGAATGCTGGAGGGCTGGGTCGTCGCCGCTCTTCGGCTGCTGGGGCGCGCGGTCGCGCTGCAGCATCTCAGCCGGGAGCGGGGGCCGCTCACCGAGGCGGAGGCCGCGTCGTTGGCGGAAGCTCGAACGAGCGCGCGAGACTTGCTCCCGGGCGTGGAAGGGTCGCAGCCCAATGCGGGGCAATGGGAGGCCATGAGCGAGCTGGAGAGAGGGGTGCTGCGCGCGGCCGGCTGGGGCGGGACGAGGAGGGCGATCGGATGCATCCGCTCCCTCCTGGGCACACCTTCAGAGCGGAGCAGGATGCTCTCGGGCACTACGCGCTGCCGGGGTGGGAGCAGAAGCGGGGCTTGCTGCGATACACCTCCTTCGAGCACGAGGATGGGCGCAGCAGGACGTCGGAGGAGTT